TGTTGAAGAAATATCAACCTTTAGATTGTAGTTATTTTTAAAGTCTTGGCTGGTTTATAAAACAATTTATTAAAGTATGATAAAACCTCTATTCATCCTATAGACTTAAAAAAAAAATGTGATAAAGATGTTTGAGGGTTTAACATAATATAATCTTCACTTCAGTTAAATTCTTTGTTTAGTACATAAAGGAGAGATTTATCAAGTGAAATCAGGTACACTTTAGCCCTCATTGTTGCTTTATGAAAGCTCTTAAATATTATCATTATTGTAGAGTGCATCTAATAGTTTCTACACAACTAGTGCAGCTAAAGAAAATAAATCAAAATAAATTAATTTATTAGTTCTAGTTTTGGATATGCTGCACATGTCTATCATTATAATAATTTCTTAAGTCATCAAGTACATATTGCAACAAGTGAATTACTGTTTTTTAGTAAACCATTTGTAAAATGTAATATATGGAGAGGGACAATAAGTATAATAAGGTTCATAGAATCCAGAAATGCTACATACAATTATATATTTGTATAAAGTAGATTATCCACTGGATTTTTTTCAATTAACCATCTCTGCCGAAAATGCTGATTATATGGATTTTTAGTTTGAGGTTTTTCACAAATGATTCATTTTTATCAGGAATTTCACAAACCATGTATTTTGCATTACTGCTAATAACCCATATTCTTAGTCTGGTACTACATTTAAGTAGCTCTTCCCCCCATGTGTAGCAAATGTATGTGTAGTTACAGGATCAAATTAGAGACTGTTGTGGATCCAAATAATGATCTTTGTTATATTCAGAGGAAGCCCAAATTATTATTACAAGTGCACTTGGAGAAGCGAGAATTAGACACCAGACACCTGTTGGTATTCAAAATAAGCCTCTGATGTTTTATTCATCAGCTGGGTTTTATACATTAAAAAGTAAGTGCTTACGTGCAAATACTCTTAGAACAGTAATAGGAAGAGAGTACAGATAAGGGATGAACGTCATGTACACATAATAAATAAGTTCCAAGGTAAGAAAGAACAAAAATATTAGAGAAGAGACATCTTAGGTGGGGGTTATCTGCTCCCGGAACTAGACATATATGGTCTTAAGTGTTGTTTAAGCATCAAGCATTTCCTGAGTCCAAGTTAGCCAATTTTAATATAGGCTATCATTATATGACACCTATAAGCTTGAGCCTTGGAATCAAGATAAATTCTATCACAAGACATGATAACTTCTTTTTTCAATTTGACAATTTTTATTGTTGGTACATCTTGTGCGGATACATGTTACTGCATCATAAAAAAAAAAAAAAATAGTATAGATACATGACACATGGTATTTGTGGATGTATCAATAGTTGGAATCAATAGTTGGATGTTCCACTAATTATCCTCTATGTTAGTTTTCAACATATAGAGACAAAAGGTTAGTGAGGAGTGGGAAGAAAGAATAGAAATAGAAAAAATAGGGAAGGAATATAAGAGGATAAGAGGGACAGCTAGGAAAGGTGTGTATAAATCCCTAGATAAGAATACAAAAAGCAGTTGGCAGGGAGTGTGTATTTATGAATGAGGAGTGTGTATGTATAAATACTTTCCCGCATTGTCAATATGTAATACAAATACACCAAAGTGTTATAAGTTTTATTTGGAGTCAACATTGTTATGTAATATTATCTATAAGGTAATATTGCATGTTAATATTGCGCATTAATCTGGATTTTTATAATTGGAATCATCATCCCAGATAATCTGAAGGATTGGCTGAGATTAATACATGATACAAAAATGGCAATTGCGCTTTAGGCAAGTTGTTTGGTTACATAAATAAAACAAATATCTTGAGTAAGTCTGATTGCTAAACCCAGCAATCAAACAAGTCACACCATCCCAGAATTTTGTTATATGTTTACAGGTCCTCCATATATGTAACAAAGACCCCTTTTCCCCAACATCTATGCGATGAGCTTTGCCAAATGCATTTAATTCTTTCTGGTACCATGTACCATCTTAAGAGTATTTTCCATTGAAGCTCTAGATGCAATGTGCAGAAGTGATACACTTATGTATTGTATGAGCTTGTGTCCAAGTTTATTCTTCTATTGTGTGACCCAACTTCTCCTGCTGGGATGCAATATATGGTTTTCCAAATTGGTTCTCTTCATTGTCCAGTAGCTCATAACACAGGGAGATTAGCCTTTTGGCAGCCCAGGAAGCTCAGACTTCCTTGAATGTATTAAATAATTTAATGTAGTTAACTTTGTATAGATTGTCTATGGTAATTGAATCAGTCTGCCTGTCAAGAGGGAAGGTACCTATTAGCCCCTCAGTGGTTGAATTAGGGAGGTTGACACTAAAAACCTGTTTATGTACATGTAACTTTATGTAATAGGAGTAAGAGCTATAAACTACTATTTGAGACATCAAATTGGGTAGGAAAATGGCTGGATGCGTTCGGGTTAAAAACACAATCTGCAAAAAGGCTGAGTTTGAACTCATCTTTCCCCATGTATCTGCCATGAATAGAAGTGTCAGTGCAAATGTTTGCTGCTAATGGTTCAAGGGCAAGCACATATAAAAGAGGGGACAGCCTCTTTAGAACTCTTTAATATATGAAATGTTGAGGATTTGAACCGGCAATATAGGACTGTGTACAACACTTGTGCAGATTGGTTTGTATTTAGTACCAAAACTGCATTTAAATATTTGTGTGTGTGTGGGAGGGGGGGGGGGCGATGCCTGATACTGCACCAGAGTAGACGCCATTTCCCTGAGCACCGAGTAAAACAAAATCTATCTATCAAATATAGGGTCTTGCACGACACTGCTGCAAGCGGAACACCTTCTTGACAAAGCTGATGCTGTTGTTCCTGACTCCCCGTGCAAAACCTGATGCCACGGCGGTAAGTCCTACCACATGGGCAGACAGCAAAGGGAGCTTACGGAGGGATTTTGACCATGGTATACACCTGGCCTAAAAGACCAATCAACACAGCGCAGGTGAGATGGGGCAGAAAACCCCAAAACAGACCCCAGCCACCTCGAAGCCACAGCGTGACATAAGTCAAATGCTGCAAATGCCCAGTGTACCTATGGCCCCCACTCCCCGAGAGGCCTCACCTGTACCCTCAGACGAGGGAGAAACATATGATAGCCCCCACAAGTGCCCACTGCCTAGAAACATTGCAGGTACCAAATGAGTGCGGACCAGCCACTCAAACCATGCTGGCCTCCAAGATAATCTTAAACAGATGTGGGAAGCAGACTTGGCAGCGCTTACTACTGAAGTGCAGGCACTCAAGCAACAGAGGGAGAAGTCGTAGAAATAAAGCAAGGCCTCCACATGCTGGGCGACACAATACGACAACTGTAAACAGCTCAGGAGAATCTGTCTAACCAAGTTCACCTGCTGGACGACAGGGACCTACGTAAGAATATTGAAATCAGAGGGGTGCAAGAGACTGTGCCACTAGAGGAACTGCCTCACTTCATTCCTAGTGACCACGGTATTGCCGACGAGACAGGCCAAAAAAATCCTATTTGATGGAGTTTCCAATATCTCCAAATCGCCACAGGCCCCCAACGCAGCTCCATGGGACATTATCCTAAAGTGCCAAACAAGGTCGGAGAAACTGGGACTGTTGGCAGCACTTCGAGGGAAGACCACAGTTTTGAGTCATGCCGACTTTCAATTTTCCAGGACTGAAGTAGGGCCACACTTCTTTGGTGCAAAGAAATGCAATCTATTACCAAACCAATCCATGCAGCAGGAATAACCTACAAATGGGCAACTCCCAGAACCTTATGGGTGACAACAGATAGAAAACAATATAAGGCCATGACCCCAAAGGATGGCCCAACTTTACTGGACACATTGGGAATCTCTAACCAGAGCAACACCACAGCACCACAACCACATCCACAACTTTGGAATGTAGACAATGATGCAGTCTTCCAGCTCAGAGAGAAGAGAAACACAACAACATGACTAGGACCCCTTCCGCAGCCAACTTCCACTTGATAAAGCTGACCAGTATCAGCAATCCAAAATGGTGTTGATTTAGGTTTCATTTTTGTTCTAGTTACACTGTTGGATAAACCTACACACCTCGCTTTCCACAAGAAGAGAGCAAACCCTCACGAGGCCAACCTTACATAGAAACATAGAAACATAGAATGTGACGGCAGATAAGAACCATTCAGCCCATCTAGTCTGCCCAATTTTCTAAATACTTCCATTAGTCAATGGCCTTATCTTATAGTTAGGATAGCCTTATGCCGATCCCACGCATGCTTAAACTCCTTTACGGTGTTAACCTCTACACTTCAGCTGGAAGGCTATTCCATGCATCCACTACCCTCTCAGTAAAGTAATACTTCCTGATTTTATTTTTAAACCTTTGTCCCTCTAATTTAAGACTATGTCCTCTTGTTGTGGGAGTTTTTCTTCTATTAAACATAGTCTCCTTCTTTACTGTGTTGATTCCCTTTATGTATTTAAATGTTTCTATCATATCCCCTCTTTCTCATCTTTCCTCCAAGCTATACATGTTAAGATCCTTTAACCTTTCCTGGTAAGTTTTATGTATAGCAAAAAAGGGGATGATCTGCTAAACAAATGACAAGAACAGTGCATAGCACATAACTGTGTGTATGAATAAACCAAATGTGTAGTTTTCAAATGGCCACTCACACTTTCGTTGAAATAAGAATGCCTTGAAAATAAATTGCTCTTTTCAGCAAGATAAATTGCTCTTTTCAGCAAGATAAATTGCTCTTTTCAGCATAAATGCCCTTCCAGGAATGATTCTTCCACCACTTTTAAACTCTCATGGAACAGTTAAAAGGTGTGTGCTCAAAGAAAAAAACAGAACTTGTAGTACATATTTAAAAATGTAGAAAAAATAATTTAATCACTTACATCTAAATATAAAACAATGGATGTAATCTCACTGTCACCACCAGGGGTCCTTCGCGTTTCGTCCGTATGTAGGACTTCCTCAGGGACTTCAGTGACCAGAAATGACAGCATACAAGTGAAGTGGATTGTTCACTTGTATGCTGTCATTTCTGGTCACTGAAGTCCCCTGGTAATGTTGAGGGAGGGGGTGATGGTGAGGGGGTAATGCTGAGGGAGGGTGTTAATGCTGAGGGAGGGGATGATGGTGAAGGGGGTAATGCTGAAGGAGGGGTGATGGTGAGGTGGGTAATGCTGAGGGAGGGGGTGACGGTGAAGGGGGTAATGCTGAGGGAGGGGGTAATGGGAGTGATGGTAGGGAGGGGGTGATGGGGGTAATGCTGAGGGAGGGGTGATGGTGAGGGGGTAATGCTGAGGGAGGGGGTGAGGGTGAGGGGGGATAATGCTGAGGGAGGGGTTGATGGTGAGGGGGGTGATGCTGAGGAAGGGAGTGATGGTGAGGGAGGGGGTGATGGTTAAGGGGGTAAAGGCAAGGGGGGTAATGGCAAGGGAGAGAGTGATGGTGAGGGGGTAATGCTGAGGGAGGGGGTGATGGTGAGGGAGGATAAGGGTCCCCCCCTTTGTATTTAGGGCCCCCACCCACCGCTCAGGGGTGGGGGCCAGGGGGGACAATGGTTAATTTTAGGGCTCCCACCCAATGCTCAGGGGTGGGGGCTGGGGGGGGACAATAGGTCCCCCCCTTATTCTTAATTTTAGGGCCCCCACCCACCGCTCAGGGGTGGGGGCTGGGGGGGACAATAGGTCCCCCCCTTATTGTTAATTTTAGGGCCCCCACCCACAGCTCAGGGGTGGGGGCCAGGGGGGGAAAGTAGGTCGCCCCCTTATTCTTAATTTTAGGGCCCCCACCCACCGCTCAGGGGTGGGGGCCGGGGGGGAGAGTAGGTCCCCCCCATTAGTATTTAGGGTCCCCACCGGGGGGGGACCCTTTTTTTTTTTTTTAACAGTGAGCAGCCACAGGTTTAATAGACATGCGGTATTGCGAGTAGGGGCACAATTTACTAATACTAAGTAATTTTTACTTAGTATTAGTAAATTAATAGGGGGCGGATCGAACCGTGCATATGTTCGCCATCCGTGGCGAACGCGAACACGCTATGTTCGCCAGGAACTATTCGCCAGCGAACCGTTCGGGACATCACTAGTCATCATGCATTGGAGATCTGCTTTCCATTGTTTCACATATTTGGAGGTGGATGTGTTGAAGCTTCTGTAAAACTCTCCAGAATATCTCCAACCACACACTTAGAAGCAGCACTTAGATGAAGTAACCAAGCTATATTAGCCAATCTAACAACAACCCATATATAAGCTCTAAAATCACCACCCACTAGGAATGTTTAACACCTGGTTAGGCCTATTCTTATTTGCAAACAATAGCTAATTAACCAGCAATCAATAGCAAGTAGCTAACTAATCAAATCACATGCCTTACCAAATTACCAACAGGAAATCAACCTTGTGCAATCAGTAACCTTTTCCTACAGACGAATCTTACCTGTAACAGTAGAAAAGAAAACTCTTAGCAAAAATCTTAGACAGTTGAAGCTTCTGTAAAACTTTCCAGAATATCTCCAACCACAAACTTAGAAGCAGCACTGAAAGCTATATTAGCCAAGCAAATGACAACAACCCTTATATAACTCCTAAAATCACCACCCACTAGGGTAGATGGAGGGGAAGTTTTTATGGAGCCTGGTTGGCACCAGGTACAACCTGTAGAGAATTTTTTTGATGCTGCTATAGGTGTAAGAATGGCTGGAATAGCTTAAGTGGGTTGGATATTAGGATATCCCACTTTTTAGGTGTCATCATGCATTGGAGATCTGCTTTCCATTGTTTCACGTATTTGAAGGTGGATGTGTTGGCGTGATTGGTCATTAGGTTGTGGTACTTGGAGATCGGTTTACATTGAAGTGAGAATTTCCTATTAATACACCTTTGTTCCCAAACAGTGAGGGATGTGACTGGGTTTTGCCTCTGTGTTTTGGTTAAGAAGGAAATTTATATAGGGAAGTGAGGGTGTTGAGAAGGGGGGCTGGGGTAACTATTGGCGTGGCTTGGGCTTTGGCCAAATTAATAGAATAGTATGATACCCGTCCATATGCCTGGATTAGTTTTAACAGAGCGGGAAGAGAGTCTTTCAGATTTGTAATATATAGCAATACATCATCAGCAAAATTGCTTATTTTAGTCTGTTTATCACCTATCTGCACTGCCTGTATGGTCGAGGTTTGTCTAAGATGTAATAAAGGCTCTAGTGCGACTACATAGAGGATTGGAGAAATGGAGCACCCCTGTCTAGTTCCTTCCATTCGTGATTCGGAATGCAGGAGAGAGGAATCCTGATTGAATCAAAACTTGCACAGAGGGTGAGGAATACAATGTGAATATTTGTTGAATGACTTGTGGTGGGAAGCCGTAGCTGTTCAGCACCTGTTTGAAGAAGGGCCAGCAGAGGCAGTCAAACGCCTTTTCTGCATCAAGGGCTAATAAAAAACCACCTCGACTAGGCCTCCCAAGCGCTGGTACTGGTGATTCAGTACAAAGCCTGTTTAGTCATGAACTAAGTGTTGTATTGGTGGGCTCAATCTGTTAGTGATTATCTTAGCACAGATTTTCACGTCTGTGTTGAGAAGGGAAATAGGTCTGTAATTTTCACATATATCTGGGGCTTCGTCTGGTTTGGGAATTGTAACTATCATAGGAGACCCGACTGTTGCGGTCTGGTAAACTTTCAGGAGATGTGGTGCGAGTGTGGACTTACCCTATGGTAGTTGCCTGATAGCTTGTTTGATTTTGCTAATGGTAATGGTAATGGGTTGTAGGAGTTCATTGGCAAGTCTCGGTCAGGAAATATTACTTAGGTAATTTTTTTTATCTCTAATGGCATAGGAGTAGTTGTATCTTTGTCGTGTTGTAGGTTGTACAAGTTTGAATATAAATCTGCAAAAACTTGACTAATTGCTTGGGGATCTATGTTTTTGGTTCCCTACTCCCCTATGATATGGGATTGTGCCATTTCAGTGTGGCGCCTAGTTGCAAGGCATTTGTTAACTTTGCCTGAGTTGTGATATGTAGTGGCCCGTAGTTTATGCAGAAGACAATTAGTTTTTTCTGCATGTAGTGCAGCTATTTTCAGGTGTATCGTATTCAGTTTGGCTAATAACTCTTGTGAGGGGTTTGCCTTCGAGGAAATTATTGCTAGTTGTTTATGAGTTCAATGAGTTTAGTTTGGCTTTATTTTTTGAGGTAGGAGAAACTCATTATAAATAGCCTTCTAACTACATCCTTATTGGCATCCCATACAGTAGTACGCCCTTCATACTAGAGCTAGCTATAGCGCTATAATATGTGAGTTTATTACCATCTCTTCAACATCTTTTATATATTGGACTGTACATATTACACTATTTGGTTCTCTATTTGCTTTATCTTTTCATATGAGTAGATTTGCCCGGACAAGGACAGTGAGGATATTGTTCCCGATCAAGCACTTTATACACTATCTGATCTGGGTAAGATCATTCCAGCTAAGACTCTTTTATTTTGACTATTTCTCATCTTGATTATCAAATGTTATAGGCTTTTGGTGCAGACCTTATTTCTTTCTTATCATTTTCTCTGTATTTTAAAGGTCTTTGAGGGATTCCCTTTTTTGGGTTGCTGCCCAAGTTGTTATTGCGCACTTACTCTTCTCTCTTGTTACATACCATAGTATCTGCTACAACGTCAGACAAGTTGTTACTAAAATATTCCATCAGTTCAGACTGAACATAATAGCAAAATTAAGTGTTAGCCAGCAGCAACTTATTGAGGCGCAAATTTCCATTGCCCTTGAATTGGAACTCATCATGTATTTGTAGGTGGACTGGGCTGTGGTCAGACTTGGTGTATCGTGACATATACATTGGGGGGCTGGCAGCCATGAGTGGCTCCACATCAAGGAGTCACTCAGATGTTGAGGCTCAAGACTAGCTGTTTGGAAGCTAAGAGGGTAATGGTCTAACATTTTTTTATTTATGATAACTTTTTGCGACAGGTTAATGTTATACTGTAACTCTGGTGACATGTCAGGATGTGTTGCTTAATGGGCAGTGACGTTATCTAACCAGTTAATGCTTGAATGTGTAGCATGTCTATTCAAGCATGGTGTAAATAATACTGTATGCAAGTTACATTACTATAGCAATTGAAAATGCCAAAATTGTGTCAGGAAAACGGAATAAACATTAAACATAAATAAAATTGTCAAGCCAACGTTACTCCTATGAGTGTCTTAATGATATACAATACCCGTCGGGCCAGCATTGTCAAGTCTTAGACCACTCCGGCGACATCCTGGAGATCTTGGCCACTGTAGCCTGTTGTAGGTCGGGCAATAGAATACCCAGTCTTTCCATTTTGAAGACCTTCCTTCTGCTTTGCCACAACGTAGATCACTCCTTGCTCCTGGATAAGTAGCTTCGCCGGGTATCCCCAATGATAGCTCAGGTCTTTGCATTGAAGCGTGTGTCACGTATTCATCCGCTTATAGAAATGTGGTTAATGACATTTACTGTCCACACAGGAAAAGTTGTGCCGAGCAGCAACCTAATCCACAGAAGGTTTAATGCTGAGCAGTAATTGTGCAAATGAAACCTGGTCTCATGTATTCATCCGCTTATAGAAAAGTGGTTAATGACATTTACTGTCCACACAGGAAAAGTTGTGCCGAGCAGCAACCTAATCCACAGAAGGGTTAATGCTGAGCAGCAATTATGCAAATGAAACCTGGTAACTGACTTTGGGGTCAAAGGCCGGTTACAGCCTATCAGAAAGAAAGGAGGGGTATTTAGGCCCAGTTCTCAGCCTGCTCAGTGCCCTGTCGTGGTTTCCCTTGTGGTTGTCCGAGAGCGCGTTCCTGTTTATAGTTTTCTACCTGGTTTTTGACTTTGGCTTTGTTTATTGACTTCTCTATATTCTGATATCCTGACTCCTGGCTTTCCTCATCGCTGTGTCCCTTTCTGTGTTCCTTGACCTCGGCTAGTATTTTTGACTATTCTTTGTACGTTAAATCCGGCCATTCTAAGGACCGGTAATACGTTACTTATTTGTCATCCGTGCTGTACAGT